CCAGCGGGGTTTTAAAAATGGCGGCTCCCCGCTTATGCAAATGAAGCCCGGGAAATTCAAATCCCAGGCTTCATTTGCAAGTGCGGTATGCCTACATTACCCCGCTAGTTCGAACGAGCGGGGTAGTGTAGACATACCCCCTGTTTTCCTGATAAGAAATATGATGTTACAGTTTTCATTGGAAACAGTCATTTCTTATTTAAGAAATAAGATGGGTAGGAGACGATCTTTTACTGGACCAGTTTCTTTTAGTGAGAAAGAAAAGACCAGCATGGCTACAATTTCAGCAAAAGCTCTTTTATCCAGTATGTTTACAAAATGGGGGATGCCAGTGAAATGAACATTCTGGTTAACTGAGAGTTATACTTTACCAATGGTGTATCAATTTTCAGAGAATTAGAGTACAATACAATGAATCAAGTATAACACAGTACACAGATTCAGGGGGGCTCACAGACTTGCTAGGCCCTAGGCAAGGTGGAGAGGTTGGCTCTGCACTCTCAGAAGAGGTGAGGCCTCAGTTGGAAGGGACAGGGCTGAGGCAGCCAGCCCTCAGTGCTGCCTGGAGCACTCTGTGCCCAACCCCAGCCAGGCCTTAGTGCCACCAACAGTGCCCCATGCCGGGCTCCAGCAGCAATTTAAAAACCCTAGGGTTCTGGCCAGTGCCCCAGGCCTTTTTGAATTGCCAGGCCCCGGGGCAGTTACCCCCTTTGTCTTCTTTCCCCACTCCCTTCCCCTCTTTTGGCTGGCCTGTACAGGTTGTACTGCAATGCAGAGTGGTTGGTTTTTGAAGCACTTAGGTGCATACAAGTAAAGCTTTCTAGACAATAGGTTATCTTCTGACACCACATATTCCTATGGGAAGTTCACTTAGAGTCAGTTCAAAATGTTCATGAAAAAAAATGAAATTGCATAGATTTTTCATTACATATGTCCCACTAGAATCTTTTAGGTCTTCTGAGTAATGCTACTGTATATGAAAGGAATATTTAAATTTATTAAATAAATTCAGACTTAGTATCAACATGTGCAACTCCAATAATGTTCTAGCAGGTCTGAATTTGTTCCAATATACCATAGTTTCAGTGAAATATATTTGTTCCCAAACTGTAAACAACAGTATTTATATGTGCCCATACAAACTGAGTATACAGGGCCCAATAATGTGGTTCATATGTGCAAACTGAGAATAACTCAGTAAAAATCAGTTATTCTGGGTTTACAATAGTATGCCTGATTATACAATTAGGGACACTGATCTGATTCTTCACTGTCCTGCACTTTTTGTAGTCATTTAGCCTATTCAAATTAGATATAAAATGATACCAGATCTTAGTGACATTGGTTTATACCTTTTTGCACTCACTTCAACCAAGTATGTGTGACCTCTCATGGTGCATGGCAGTAAAAAGTCAGGACCAGTGGCTATAAGGATTTTATTTTGGCTTTCTGCAATTATATTGTTTGGTTGAAACAGAAATCCTGTCCAACATGTTTCAGAATATTTTTTTAACCTAGATCTTTGCTTAGATTTCTAATTTTTCTTATAGGAAGATAGGATAAGGTCTTGAGAGCTGTTGACTAAATGGGTATTGTGAATCAATATGGCACTTGTGATCCAGTATGTGGTTGGTGTAAAAATTGTTTGGGTGTGTTTTTCAATAGATTTTCTCCCTTTATACTAGGTCTACCACTGCACCCTTTACTATTATTTCTGCTCCATCTGGATCAGCTCTGAGATGTTTCTACTCCTTCTATCAACTCTTACTGACTAGATGTGCTTCCAAAGAGTTACCAGTAGATGTACATCAAAGCATTTTCCTGCCTGTGTGATGCTTGGAGTATGTTGACACTGCAAAAAGACACCTGTGGCTGGCACATGTCAGCTGACTTCAAGGCTCAGACTGCAGGGCTGTAAAACTGCAGTGTAGACATAAGACATACAAGCTCCCAGAGTCAAATCTATGCTGTATTCACTAAATTATTCTAGTCACACAAAAACAAAACAAAAAATCTGGAAAAGAATCTAAATGTTTTCATTGACATCTTTGAAATTAAATATTTCTTTTTTTTTCAATTCAAAATTACTTTAATTTAATTTCATGCAAAACCAAATATTTTTACAAGCTCAAATTACAATCAAACATTTTCTTTTAGGTAAAACAAACCTTTTGTTCCATATGAAACAATTTTTTTCAACTCCTCAATTCACCAAAAAATTTGGGAAAGTTCTCTTTTGGGTCAGCCTGAAATGTTTTTTTAAATGTTTAAGTTTAAATTACAAAAAATCAGTTATGTATATTGTTCTACATCATATGATTCTGTCAACATAAATTTCATTTGTACCTGTATGAAGGCAACTTTGTCAGTCTAAAATAATATGAAGTGGTGTTCGTGCACATGAGAAATGGACTTCCTTATTTTTTATGGATAGCTATGGTACTTATATAAAAATCCCTTTAGATTTACATAGGCATAAAAGGTACCATACCAATGAACTAGTCCCTTCTGGCTCTTGCATGTTTTTCAGCAAAACAATGGCAGGGAGTTTGCAACTATCCATTTTAAATGCAGATGTTGACTTGAACACATTATGGGACAAATTTTACTGTTAGCTAAACAAATGCAAATTCAGAACAACTGATGTTAAATTAGAGACAATGAAATCAGGTTTACAAAAGCAGGAAAAAAGCAGAATTTGGTACTTAGAGTGAGGATAATTTATAACATCTTAATAGGATCTCTGTAGTAAAATCTACTATTCTATATGTACTAGCCAAGTTACCATTTACATCAGGATTTCACCATTCAAGTATGTCACTTATAATACATATTTGTTTTTAGTGAGAAAAATGCCAGACTCACTGATATAATATAATTAAACTTTTACAATAGACCGAGCCTTACAGTGCAAGGTCATGTCTTAGAGGACTACCTCAAAATAATCATATATAGGAAGCAGGATTTCTCTCTCCTTGTAAAGAAAAGCAACTCAACAAAGCAACTGATTTTTGTCTGAACTTTGAGTGGTTGCTTAAGGCAGTAGTCACTCCACATGTGTGTGTTGTGGATATGTGTGTGCATGTGTGTGCACTAATATTTATACAAGGTGTGTTTAACCCTATCTAGGCTAAATATATGTTTGACCTAAGACAACACTAGGAAGATGTCAGAAAAAAAACTTCTTCTACAACTCCTATGCAACTGGAAATGAACTGGCCTTTGTCATACATAGGATGAAAGTGGGAAGCATCTTTCATGAAAACTGGGAAGATGATGACAATTTCATACTTTCATGATGCCATTCATTCAAATATCAAAACACTAAATAAATATTAATAGATTTAGCACCATAGCACTTCTGTGAGGTGAATTCCAGAAGTAGGGTTTTTCTTTACATTTTTTCACAAAAGTCCTAGCACCACAGACCTGCTTCATCACAAATTATTCAGGGCAGTATTTGCAAATAAACAGAAAATGGCAACAAAATATCACCTCAGAGTTACTAGAGAGAAATAGAAGCTAACTGAAACATTTCAAAGTTCAAACATTTTGAATGGAAAAATGGAATTCTACCCTCTATGGAAACATCTGCGAATGGAATTTTCTTCTGCCAGTTCTGAGTGATTTTTTAAATCCCGCTCAATATTTTAAAGAAAAATGACAAGCTAAGAAAACAGAATTCAGTCAAAGTTATTTACCTGTTTTTTTTAAAATATATGCAATACTTTCAAACAAGCATTGGCTTGAATCATTAAAATATGCCAATGCTTTTACATAACAGAAATTCACATACAACCATGGAATGAAATGAAATCTGATTTGTGTGACTTACTAAGGTTTTTGTGGCTATTTAAACATTTTGGATAGAAAATTCTGGTACATCTTTGTACCCGTTTTTACAAATTACCATTTTTCTGGATTTTAATTCATCTAAATAAAATGGAAAATAATGACATATAACTATATAATCTATAAAGTTCAACATTTGTATACTGTACAAATCACTTCTCAAAAAAACACCCTATACTCAATGCCAGCATTTGCATATGCAATCTCAAAATTCAGCTTTGAAAATGTGATATTTGAAAATAAGGTATTTCTTACATATCTTGAGTACCTAATTCTGTGCAGATATTCTTACAGTTCTGTTTGTTTACAAAAAAATAGGACCACATATTCAATATATCAGCATACCGCAATCAGACTTCAGAATTTTGTGCCCAGATCATATTGTTTCATCTGTATTCAAATTTATTTTTGCATTTGTTAAGAATCAACTTCTGTGACATGAGTACATTACACTAACAAATCTTTTGGACCACTTAATAGTACCGTAATTACAAAAAAAATGGCTGTGATAAAATCAAGGGACCAAATTCTCCCTAGTTATCATGATGAAATCTCATCACATCAATGTAATCAAGAAGAAAATCTGGTCCCAAATCTACACACTAAACTGACAACAGTTATAATCATAATTTTCTGAACTGTTGATGTCCATAACTATTGCAGAAAAAACAGGGAGGAAATTACTTGCTCAAATCACAGATAAAAGACTGCTTTTTCCATTTCTTTCCCTTTACATACCAGACCTTAATAGCTTTAAAATAAATTAATCATAAATAATATTACCAGAACTATATTATGTGTTATTTTGATTGCTTTGAGGGGCTGTTTAGCCATTTATACAAAGCTCTCTTCCATATTTGTGCACAGCAAGAAGGAATCCACAAGTCTAGGCTTTACCAACTGCTGGAAATCTGACTCCTCGAGGCCATCAGGACTCATAACTGCTAGTCTTCGCAAGGCTGCCTGTCAGAAACAACAGTACAGTTAAAAATTTGAATCCATAAAATACAGTGCCTACCAATAATGGTCAATACTTGAAATTGACCCCTGTGCATAGGGTCAGCATATGACCATAGATTGCATTTTCCAGTCATCCAGTTACATCTCCCTCCCAATTTGATTCTGAAACTGCTTTTTTGAATGCATCACACTGAATGCATGACCTGTTATGCGACTTCACTTTCTCTCCCTTTGTTTCCTGTCCCTACTGAAGGCTGGTCAATCATTTTGGGAAATGACTGTACTGAAAATTACATTCTTAAGGCAGGTAATCAACAGGTCTTAGACAGGTTCTTTTCAAGCATGCGGAAAGAGACACTTCTCTCTGTTTTGGGTCACGTATGTATTGGGCAATGCACATCTCACTCTGAATGCGTGTTTGCATAGTGAGCTAAATGCTGAATAAGAGAGTGTGAAATCTTCAAGAGAGGAAACTTACAGGATGAAATAAATAGAATCCTCTTTACAAGTAAATACAATGGAAGTACACCCTGGATGCTTTGCGCGGGCATTAGCTAATAAATAGTGTGTTTGTCCTATGCATGGAGCATCAGAATCACCTTGGCTGTAAGACCCTGAAAGGATTTGGGGTGAGATTTCTCTACATGAGCAAAAAATACCTTCTTAATTAAGTCTGTGTTTAGAACATGTTATGATTTTGTTTTCTACGTAATAAACTGTTTCCAATGCCTCTACTTGCTGTCATTTGAATCTCTGTCCTTTCATAATAAACTTTCCTTTTTTTCCCACTGTAACCATGGGCAGTGGGTGAACATAGGGCTGGAGGAGGCAAACCCTTCAACCTGAGATGCCACCCCTGTTGCTCATGATCCCCGTAGGAACCAAACCTTCTCCTGTTGTCGGGGCAGGCCCCACCTCCCAAGCACAGGCAGCTACCACCATCCTGAGCAGGGACAGTCTGCACTGTTCCCCCACCCCCAGCACGGGCAGCCTGCAGTGTTCCCCAGCTTTCCCAGGGCACAGGTAGTTCACACCCTCCCCCACCCCAAGCATGGGCAGCCCACAGCCCAGACCTCCCAACAAGCATGGGCAGCACACAGCCCTCCTAGATCACTTGCAGCCCACAGCCCTGTCCCTACAGAGCACAGGCAGACTGCAGCTGTGGTCTTTTCCACACTGCCGCCCCCGCCCCCAGCAGGGAGAGGGCAGACCAGCAGGCACCCACCCTCGCCTCCCCATCTCTGGAGCACAGAGAGGGCTGGCAGCACAGGGCTGAAGCCCAGGCAGTCCCAGGAGCCTGGGGGAAGTGCACTGAATGGGAGGTTCTGGGGAGCGAGGTGTGGGAAAGCATCGCCTTCCCCTGCTACTTTCACCAGCCACCTATGACTATAGCCATGCTGCAATGTGGTGTGTGAAGCGGAATGGCAGTCTGTGACACAATCTGACCATGGCTGCTCTGGTGGGGCTGAGGCACTTCCCCCTCCCCCACCCTCCACCCCCCATCTCTTGCTGCGGCTGCTGGGTGCTGGGGCTGGAGCACTTCTCCTCCCCCTCCTCCACCATGGCTTCTCCAAGCTGGGGCTGGAAAAGCAGGCCTCTCCCCCAGACCCGGAGCTGCCCCAGAGCAGGGGACAGGTGCCCCTTCCCTGGCCCCCCACACCCAGCCTAGCTTGGACCTGACCCAGCTGAGGAACAGGCAACCCTCCCCTGGCCCTGCTGCGGTGAAATAGGGCTGGGGATAGCCCATTCTCTGAATCACTCATCCTCAGCCTCACCCCCAGACACAGCCCTTATCACCCACACCAATCCACTGCTCCAGACCTACACCCCAACCCCTCTGCCACACCCCCAGCATGCACTTTGTCAAAGTGACTTTTGTTAGGTGATCCATCACCTCCAGATTGATGCCTATAACGAAAATCATTCCACAACAAAGAATTGGCAGGAACATGGGTCCTGACTGTAACTTCACTGAGGATAAAGGTAACACAAACCCGCTAGCCTAATCTTTGATATCCTCTCATTCCCAGGGACAGCTCATCAGCCCATCCACTCCTCTGGCCCAAGCAGAACCCCCTCCCTAACCATCTGACCGCAGCCCCAAATTGACTTTGCAGGCCCTACATGCTAGTTAGTTCCTTTTATTTGAGCTAGCTAGCATGGGCAGTGGGGGATAGTAGGACTGGGGGAGGCAAACCCCTCAACCCCACCCCCAACCCTGCCCCTTCTGCCCAGCCCCCACCCCTCAGTACCACAGGGAGGGAGGAGAATGTGTGGCCCCAGACTCCCTGATCCCAGAGCACAGGCAGGGCAGGTGCTGGGGATAGCAACACTCCACCTCAGTACACCTACAGCAGGGATTCTAGGGGCAGAGTGGGTGGGGGGTGGGGCCCTCCCCCTTTCCTTCCCCTTTCCTCCTCCCCTCCCCCCCTCCTGCATAGGATACCCACCGCTGCATAGGATACCATACCCACCACCCCTCCCCCCTGCCTAGGATCCCACCACCCTTGCTAGCTGGGTTCTGACTGCTTCTGTGTAGGAGATAGGAAGCTGTGGAACCTCAATCAGGCAGTCATGAAGAGACTGATATACCCAATTAAAGTGCGTGAACCTTGATTTTAAATGTTCAATAAGGAACTCAGTACTGGGCCCATGATGAGAAGGATCTGAGCACCACCCCTCCCCCCTGCCTAGGATCCCACCACCCTTGCTAGCTGGGTTCTGACTGCTTCTGTGTAGGAGATAGGAAGCTGTGGAACCTCAATCAGGCAGTCATGAAGAGACTGATATACCCAATTAAAGTGCGTGAACCTTGATTTTAAATGTTCAATAAGGAACTCAGTACTGGGCCCATGATGAGAAGGATCTGAGCCTGATATGCTATACATTGTGATACTTACACACACTGAAATCCCACTGAAACAAATGGAATTTGTGCATTTTTCAGGCCCGATAAAGGATGGTTTAAGTGCACTTACCAGACAGGCCACTAGAACAGAATCACTGTTATTTCTTTCTGTGGGTGATCTGCAGAGTTCTATGAGGCGAGGAATACCTACAGACAGAGAAAAAATGAAGAGAAATAGTTCTTGTTATCTGAAACTCACCATTTTGACACCAAAAATTAGCCTACTGGGTTCTTTAATTTTATCTATCTCATTCAATACAATTGTGAATGGATACAATGCTATCCAGGAGGTGTAGAAGGAACTCTCCACACATGCATTAGAACAAGTCGTGCAATTTAAAACTGACAGTTAGATAACAGCAAAGCATAAACACATGCATTGTTTTTACCCTCTACTGCTCTTTTACAATGGAAAAAAAATCCTTCCTATCTATCATTCCTTTAAAAAAAAATCCTTCCTATCTATCGTTCTTAACTCCCCAAAACAAATATGTTTTTTCCTCAGTTTTTATATTTGAAATTCTGGTCCCTACTCTCCATCTCTCTTTGCTAAGGGTTACTATTGGTCATGTGTGTATGAGGCTTTAAGCTGGAGGGGGAAGTAGATGCTGTATCTTCAAAACAGCATCAGCTAGTCCCAGTAAAAGCTTAGTATCTCCTCCATTCCCAGCTATATGTAGAGCAAAAGTGCACTTCAACTATCTCTGGAAAATTAGCCATAGATTCATTTAGCACACTATACACATTCACTGTCAGGACAGACTGTGTGGGAAACCTCCTGGCCAGCAGAGAGCAGACATTAACAAGTGATATAAGAGCGCCTCGCCTTGACAAAACTAGCAAGAGGCTCTGCTGCTCTGATGTGCCAGGATGTCATTCTCTCCGCATTTACAGTCAGCCACTAGGTTAGCATTACAGTCTTACAGCTGAGTTTTATGGCTGCATGTGCTACTTCAGGGTCTCGGCTGAGCCGGGCCAGAGTGACCGCAGATTTCTGCTGAACACGCTCACATGCAGCAACTTCTGCTGAATTCCCAGAAGATGATCTCTCAAAGAGCATTTCCATTAAAAGTTGCACACCTACAAAGTAAATGTTGCTGTTAGCATCTCTCCCAGAGAACAACACAAACTTCCACATAAGAAACCAATTGAAAAGTGAAGCAAGCTTTGCCCGAATAATCACCGCACAACTGCAAGATAGGATTTTGCTGCTCAGAATATAGGCATAGTCTGCTTCTCCGCAAAAACACGCTGCTCAGAATATAGGCATAGTCTACTTCTCCGCAAAAACACGTTGGCTGTGTCTACACTAGCACCCTTTTCCTTAAAAGGGATGCTAATGAGACACTTCGGAATTGCAAATGCCACGGGGGATTCAAATATCCCCCATGGCATTTGCATGAACATGGCTACCGCTTTTTTCCGGCTCGGGGTTTTGCCAGCGAAAAGCACCAATCTAGATGGGATCTTGCGGAAAATAAGCCCTTTTCCGGAAGATCCCTTATTGAAAGTAGGAATAAGGGATCTTCCGGAAAAGGCCTTATTTTCTGCAAGATCCCGTCTAGACTGGCGCTTTTCTCCGGCAAAACCCTGAGCCGGAAAAAAGCGGCAGCCATGTTCATGCAAATGCCACGGGGGATATTTAAATCCCCCCCGGCATTTGCAATTCTGAAGTGTCTCATTAGCATCCCTTTTACGGAAAAGGGTGCCAGTGTAGACACAGGTATGTTGTCTACAGGAAGCTAGATAAAATAGGGAACCAGCTCGATTCCCAGTTCTACCTCTTCTATCTAAACCAGCGTTTCCCAAATGGTGTTCCACGGAACCCCAGGATTCCATGAAGTTAATGTAAGAGTTCCGTGAGAAAATTCCATTTCAATAACATTTTATGATTTAAATAATAATAATTAATATTTAAGCATTTATTAATTTTATTGAAAACAATTTTCATTTGTGTTGGTCTAATGACCTTGTTTAGCATTTTTATTATTATTATCCTTACTTATTTGTGGTCTACTTTTTCAGCTCCATATTCAAGACTGTTATTAGGGGTTCCATCAAATTCTTTTGAGTTTAAAAGGGTTCCATGGCCAAATAAAATTGGGAAACACTACTCTAGATTGTTCTAGTGCTGACTGATGTGTGGATTTTAGACTGACCTCTGGCATCTGGCTCAAATCCACAGCAAATGCTCTTAATTCTTAGTTGCATGTAACATCTAATTCAAGATAAGCCTAATGGAGGGAGCCTGAAGAACATCAGAAAATCTTTCAGATTAGTTACATGAATGTAACTGCCCTTCCCAGATCATATATTTGAAAACACCTTTTTAATGTTTCCATTTAATTTTTTTTTAAATTAATGGAGATTGTCTATTTCCTAGAACTGGAAGGGACCTTGAAAGGTCACCAAGTCCAGTCCTCTGCCTTCACAAAAGGACCAAGTACCATCCCTGACAAATTTTTGCTTTGAAATGGCCTTCTTGAGGACTGAACTCATAATCCTGGGTTTAGCAGGCCAATACTCAAACCACTGAGCTATCCCTCCCCCTAATCATAGGTAGTAGGCTAAATTCTCAGTTCAAATACATTTGTATCTTCCTCATGGACTTCAGTGATACTCAGAAGCATGAATGTTTTCCTTCATGTCTATCTTGCATGTTATAGATACTTCTGGTCTTGTTGGATTCTCAGTTATATTTTATGCTTCAATTTATTCATCCAACCTCCCCACCCCTTGCCAAGGAATGTGCCATGTTGGTTTTCAGTTGTTACAACATGACAGTGTAACTACTGTAATATTGACTGCTATTTTACATTTCTGCTCAGCAGATCTATTTTGCTGGACTAGTGTCAAGCTCTATGAAGTTATCAGCTCACCTGTTGACTGGTGTTAAGCTCAAAGCCTTTGTAAAATGACTATGTACTTCTACTTTGCCACTCTGATGTGATGTGTGTATGCCACTGTGCTTATGGCTCAGCCATATCAGCTTGCTAGGCTTATGTCAAAGCTCAGGATTTTGGAAAGTTATTGGATCAGCACATCTAATCTGCTGGTCTGTGGTCATGGCTAGTCTTGGCAGGATTCAGTTTCAACTGATATATATTAGTAAATGTCAGTTTCAGCTGACACAATGGAATGGACTAAAAATAATCTCTTGGCAACAGTCAGAGGGAGTGCAACCTCCTCCCTGCACCACACACAGACATTGGGAGTAACTAGTCCTGCGGCAGGGCAGGGAGCTGTCAGCAGAACCTCCCTGTTCTGACAGCTCCATTCTTTCACCAGCTGGGAATGCTGCACAGATCTCTGCTCTGCCAGAACCAGTCTCCCCTACACCTTGTGCCTGGAGGGATCAAGTAGGTGTCAGTGGCTCTGTTGCAGGGCAAGGGAACCCTCTGCAGTCCTGCTGTCCGTGCTGGGAACCCCCCAAAACCTTGCTATCCCTACTGCCCTGATCCCAGCCCCACCCTGCCTTAATTTCCTACAACCGTAAAATTAAAAATGAAAACAGACTGAATAAACAAACAAATAAATAAATTAGATAAATATCAAATTCTGCCACCCTAGTCATGGCATGGCCTGCTGTGAGGTGTCTGAGGCCTGGTGTACATGAGAGGATTTTGGCCTGGGGGAGGGGCTTTAGGGGGGAGGTGTCTGAGGCCTGGTGTACATGAATTTAGGTTGAACTTAGCTGCATTAGGTTAAGATTTTCTAAACAATGGGTACATCTACCCTGCAACACTATTCTGAAATAATTTACTCTGCATCTACACAGCAGGCAGTTATTTCAAAACAGTGTCAAAATACTGTCAGGCTGGATGACTTCTTACCACAGGGCTGGAGCACACCCTGCCCCAGTGAGCCCTGCAGGGAAAGGCAGGCCCCTGCCCATGGTAGGCAGGGAGCTGCTCCAGCCCTTGCCAGTTAACCACAATCAGTAAACCTCTCTATGAAGGTTAACCATTCCTATCCCTAATTGTTACCTATATCTGTTATTTCATATTATTGTCATATTTTATTGATTAACAATTACACAATTACATATTTACAATTACATATTTAATTAACAATTACACAATTAGCAAATATATTAATTGCTTCCAATTAGAAAAACAATTAGTGCTAAAAACCAAAATTGAGTAGAGAGCCCACCCAAGCTCTTTCAGTTCCAAAGACTCTCTCATCAGTATCTCTGGTTTTTCACCAACTGCTAATTGTTACCATATTACACAGGCATAGGAAACAATTATGCACAGGTTGGCTTTTAGCCCTTTTCATAAGCCTCGAGGCAGCTGCCACGGTATAAGCTTCCAACAAGAAGAAAATGTGCAGACTTTACTGTACCACAAACACACTTTGGTTAATTAAGCGTAAGTTTTACATGGACATGTGCCAGAACTAAAATGATCATTTACTTGGATCTTCTCACCAGCTCCGAGGGAGAGCTAGATGGCAGAGTGTGCTAATGCATTAACATTTTAACACTCTGGCTCTAGGTCCAAATAAGGTTTACTCATCACAAATGAAGTGAACACGTGTGATCTCAACTTTGACTACAGTGGAGTTCATGCACACCCCCAAATTCCCGCATAATTTACTGAAAAGGGCAGTGTCAATTCAGTAAGGACCTGATCCCGCCAGAAGCTAAGTGCCCTCCATGTCCACTGGGCTCAATTCTCATTTGACATTGGTGTAACTCAGCTGACTTCCATAAAGTTCCTCCTGGTTTACACCAATCTGAGTGAGAAGAGAAGCAGGCTAATTGTCTTCAGTGGCAGTGTAGTCTGCATATCACCTCTCTGATGGACCCAGCATCATGAAGCATTTGATTCCAGAAGGAGTTGACTGGAATAGTGGGTGTGCTACAGGTAATCACACAGCGGTAATAACAAGCTGTTCAGAGGCTGCCTAATTGAAAATACATGAACTTACACACACCATGACTCTACAACCGGGGTGGGCAATAATTTGTAAGGGGGGGGGGGATGGTCACTTCAAGATTCTGTCAAGTGATCAAGGGCCACACTTCTGTGGAGGGTGTGTGCTGTCTGGGACAGAGGTTGGGTGCAGAAGGGAACTTGAGATAGGGGACTGAGGTGCAGGAGAGGGTGAGGGATCTGAGAGGGAGTGTGAGTGAAGGAGAGGGCTGTGATCTGGGGCAGGGGCACATAGTCCTGTAGGGGGCATGGGTGCAGGAGAGGATTTTGGCCTGGGGGAGGGGCTTTAGGGGGGGGTGCAAGGTCTGGGAGGGAACTGTGACCTAGGTGTAGCGGGTGTAGAGGGTGCAGAGGATTTGGGTGGTGATCTGAGGCAGAAGAATAGGGTGCAGGTACAGGGTTAGGGAGGGGGCATGGGTGTAGGAGAGGATTCTGGACTGTGAGAGAGGTATAGCAGGGGGTGCAGGGTGTGGGAGCGAATTGTGACTCGGGAGAAGGGGGAAAGGGTTTGGGTGGTGGCCTGTGACAGGTAGTCAGAAAGGAGAGGGAGTGGGATGCCAGAGGCAGGCTCTGGCTGGGAGGCGCTTACCTGCAGAAACCTGAGGCAGACTGTCTGCTGCAGGCTGCTCACTGCTCTTCGTGGCTCTGTTCCGGGCATGGAGGGGATGGGAGTGGGGAGGGAGGGAGAAGGCTTCCCACATTGCCCTTATTCCCAGCAAAAACTCTCAGCTCCTACGGGCTGGATGAAGAGAGAAGGCTTCCCACACTGCCCCTGCTCCCAGCAAAAATCTCAGCTCCTATTGGCCAGAAACTGCGAGATTAGGCAATGGGAGCTGAGATATTTTGTTGGCAGGTGGGGGCAGAAACAGCATGAGAAGTCTCCCATCTCCCTGTCTGGCCATCCAGAGCAGAGAGCAGCTGGTTTTTAAGTGAGCTGTTCTCTGCCCAAGGGTTCTGGCGAGGCAGCCACAGGCCAGATCTGGTGGCTTAGTGGGCTGGATCCGGCCCACTGGCAGCCTCTTGCCCACCTCTGCCTTACAAGGACTTTCGCCAAATATATAGTGTAATCAGCACACAAGAAAACCTTATTCTGAGGTCATTTTACTTCCCCTTCAAACTCACTCTCTCTCATACACACCT